GTGGAGAGAGACTTCTTGGTCTAGGAGATTGATTCAGCAGAAGTTAGGTGATGCGTCAACCGTGTTGAAAGCATTTGCCGATTATGTTGATAGTCTATGTGGGACACCGTATCCCATGGACTATGATATATGGCTAAGAAGGTTGAGGAGAAATATAAATGAGGATGATCATGGGAAGGAAATTGATACGTCGGGCTAAGGTTTATTTTTTCCTTTTCAAGGGCCACTCCATTTGAAGTGATCCCTCTGGATCATCTGGAGCATTAACAATTCCTGGCTGCAATGACATGAAATTTTGTTGGAAGTGTTTGATACCTAATGCCAAATGTCCAATGTGATGATCTGGAGTCCATTGATTGAGACAGAATACTTGTTTAAAATTTCGGAGACTGGCATGACTGCATCCCTTGAAGAATTTCAAGCATGGAAACTCATTTACGGTGATGTTTGTGCTGTTCCTTGCTCTGAAAATGATTTTGGGATTGCTTCTCATGGGAATCTGCACAGATGAGCATGATTTTCAAGAATTTTTTGAGCTTTTGTGGTAGAGTGTCCGTGGTGGAACTGAGAATTTAAAATTATATGGATATGTTTGCATGCAGTTCCCTAGTACAGTAGGGGACCCCAAAAAAAGAAAATCATTTATTTTTGCACTTCTGAAGCGTTTGTTTTATAAGAGAATATGTGATGTATTTATTACCATTTCTTTGTAAAGATCCAAACCGTTGAAAGTTTGTGTAATTGCTACATATGAGTTGACATAAGTAGTCCATTGTGTCCAGGGCATCATTCTCTCCTGTAAATGTATTAGTGTTTCGGTTTGCCCGTATGGAAAACCCATTTTAATGCATTATCTGTTCTGTTGGGCTTCTACCTTGAATTTCCGCTATTGTTTTTGGTCTTTCGACTATCTTTTTGAAATCAGAACCCCCTCAACCTTAGCTATTAAGCTCTAGAGTAATCTCCTTGCACTACCATATACTCTCACAAAATTTATATATACTACAACCAAATCCAACTAGACACTATTCCTAAGCACAGTGAAATGACGCAATTACCCCCATTTTACTGTTAGTCAACCTCTTTTTTCCCAATAGCACAGTAAAATGTCCAAATTGCCATCCACTACAACTTTTCTTTCTTTCCCTTTTTGCCACTCCCCCTTCGGATGTTTACAAGTGCCACTGTTTGGTTCGCAGAGATACGTAGTTGAGTTCCAACCAGCCTGGTTGAGTTGGTTGGGGGGCAGTGATGGGATAAGCTGCTTAGATGTTCGGGATTCGTTTGGGGCCGTTGATTCCCATTTGGGGTGGCATGTTGTGAATCTCACTCTTCTTTTGCTCTTCATCTCATTGATTTGTTTGTTGGTTGAGAGATTTTTCATCATTTGTATGTAAGGCCCGTGTCTTGGGGAAACAAGAACGGTGAGCAATAGAGGTGAGCAATCCCACATCGCTCGGGGAGGGAAAGGTGAAGTGTCTTATATGTGTGGGCAGAGGCCTTTTGGGCAAGATAGCATTAGCTTGAGCCCAAGAACAAAACCGTGAGGGGGGAGGCCCAAAGTGGACAATATCTTGTTAGGGGAGTCGAGTCATGACAAATGGTATCAGAGCCTGACCTCGACCGGAAGTCTGCCAGCAAGGACGCTGGACCCCAAGTGGAGTGGATTGTAAGACCCATGTCTTGGGGAAACAAGAACGATGAGCAATCCCACGTCAGTCGGGGAGGGAAAGGTGAAGTGCCTTATATGTGTGGGCACATCTCTTCCTAGCAAGAGGCCTTTTGGGCAAGATAAACATTAGCTTGAGTCCAAGAACAAAACCATGAGGAGGGAGGCCCAAAGTAGACAAGATCTTGCTAGGGGAGTTAGGTCGTGACATTGTAGAACATTGGTCTGAGAGATCTTCCATCTTTGTTGTCTATGAGTTCTTGCATTGTTTATCTTCAGGTTTACATCCCATCAACTTTTTAACAAATTAATGACTTGATGATGGGTTGCTAAGCAAATTGTTTAATCCTTTAATTCATTACTCAAATTGGTTATTAGAAAAAGTCAATGATAGGTTTAGAAGATAAGTCTTTAAGAACAATGATTATTGGCATATGAGAGTTTATTTTCTCTTGCTGAGCAAACTGTTTTATTTTCTGTTTTAGAAACACTTGCTTTCGTCCCCAACAAAAGCAATCAATTCATCAACTATTGTTGGGGTTACTTTAAATTGTGTAATGATCTATTGTTGTTAATATTTATTTTTTCAATTTTTTTTATATTCATATGTTTTTATACTAATTTTGTGTAATATATATATATATATATATATATTCATTTGGTGGTTTCATGTTAGAGATGTTAAAAATTGTGTTAATAGCTATTTGATGTGGACTGCTGCCAATATATGATACGTTGATAACTGATGGAGAGATAAAAACATAGGAGAATAGTATATGTATAGAGTTCTTTTTTTCATTGAAATTATGATTTGGATATGTGGTAGGATTGATTTTTGATTGAATTGATGAACTGAGTATGTGTTATATTAAAGATTTCACTATGGTTATGAACCAGACATCTTCAAGCTTTAGTAATTTTTTTTTTAAAGCAAATTTATTTACTTCGCATGTATTATACTTTTTCTTGTTAACCAAACTTCTGTAATGTGCATTGTCTTTAATTCTTATATATTATCATGGCTGAATGTTAAATGACTTACTCTGTTTCATACATTGGGATTGCCCCGTTTTATTATGTAGTTGTGACATGTCAAATTTAAGTTTATAAGTTTCTAATTTCTAAAGGCAAAAGTTATTATGCATGGTAAATTTGTAGTTCAACTGTTTCATTTCTGTGAGTTTTTGGAAGTCATTGTTTAGACTGTTGTTTATGAAAAGTTTGATGATTTGCAGCATCAGTGATTACAGACAATTAAAGCACCGTGATTATCATCTATAGTATTGTCTTTGGTTTTTCTTTTTGTATTTCGTAAGAATTGATTTCCATTTAAAAAGGTTTGTTCTAGAAAATACAAAATCCAAAAACCATTTGAGTCTTTCCTGATGCCACCATTCTTGGTGTGCCCAAATAGTATACTCTTGAACTTATTGGAATGACTGTGGTCAGGGCATGCATTCTTCTGTTGGATCAAGTCACTGTGGACCTGATTTTGTCGAGGGCAAAGTGTGTACTTTTGACTATTAAATAATGAGTCTAATTTGAGTTATTTAATAAGTGAGTGCTGCTATTTCCACCCACTTATCCTATTTCTCCACCTACCCACCATGAAAATTTGAAAAACCACAATCCTATCTTTGCACCCACCATTATTCCTAAAATACCATTCCATTCACGTAACACTTTTAACCCTAACTTAACACTATTGATTGAGTCCGAAAAAATTTAAAGCAGCCACCCACCACACGAGAAATATTACATCAATTGGCCTAGATCTGAGACGACACTTCGACTGCATTGCCTGCCAAAGTCACTCATACTAGTCTTCATCAATATCAGCAACTTCATGGCCCTTTATTCCTCCAAATTTCCAATTTGAGAGAGATAGAACATTCCAATCTTTATTCTTTCCTTCTTAACTATTTTCCTAGACATGCCCAGTTTGAGGTTATAGGGATTCAACCCTTCCGAAACCAAAATAAATTTTTTTTTGAATGCAGAAAGTTGTCATAAAAGCGACACTGGGATTTTGTCAATCAATGTCATAAGTGCAACAAAGTCTAACATTTAATAGAAGCTGCAATCGTATGAAGATCTATGGCCTACCCAGACAACAATAAACAAAGAGTAAAAGAAATTTATTTTCGCTAATTTAGATTTATGAAAAAAGAAAAATAGAGAGGAGGACAACTGGGAATCTTACAAGAGCAACTCATTTGGTTTAGGTGGCATTTGATGATGTGGTTGGCGGTGAGGTGAGGAGGGGAGGTTGGTTTGGTTGTCACGAGGTTAGGTGGGTAGTCTGAGAGTTGTTTGCTGGGATCTTTTATTTATTTATTCTAATTTTCTGTTTTTATTTTTACTTTTATTTTCTTGACTTAACAGTGTTAACTTAGAGTTAAGTCCTTAAAAGTGATTTTACAATAGGGTAAATTTGCTTTTAAAATTTTGAAGATAAGGTGGGCGGGAAAATAGGACAAGGGAGTGAGAATAGCAACACTCTTAGTGCCAGTTTGACATTGCTTATTTGGGGTGATAAGTGATTTAAAAAAAATAAATTTGAAAAGCCCAACCCATTCAGTAAACTGTGAGAAAATCACTTATTGTTAAAAATTGCTGTGAGAGAAAGTTATAAGAGAAAGCAGCTAATAAAGTGTTTTCATTTTTTGATTATGCAGGAATCAGTTTCGAAGAGGCGTTGGGTTTAATGATTATGCGACAATCATTTTTTGATTATGCGTAAAATCAATACCAACAACACTTTTAACAAACAATTTACCAAAAGCCAAACTGCTTTCTCTCACAACTAATTTCTCTCACAGCAAATTTGACAACAATTATTTTCACAGCACAACAATGCCAAACTGAGCCTTAATGAGTGGAGTCCAATAGAAGCAAATATATTTAATGATTAGAGTCAAATGTCCTTAACATTGATTGGATTTTACCAAAATTCTCATACGTTCAAATAAGTATTGGATTGAGATTTGAAGTCTTGCACACTAGGTAGTCCAAACCGCCAAGGAGATTGGTTCCTACTGAAATTAGGTCAAAGGCTAGTATTAGAACAAGGTTCAAAGTCAATGCTCTATCTACACAACTTCTCTCAACAGATATCAAATTGATTACCATTGATCCTAAAACTGATTCCAAACGGATTTTGGCACATATTTCAGAGATGACAGACCAACTAGACTGGTTAGAACATCACATTGATAGCCTCTACTCTGCTATTGGATCAAATGACAAAGACATTGTTTAGAAAAAATGGCTTCGATCCCTCGCCCACAACCGGCCAAAAAGGGAAGGATCTTTCCAAGCTGGAATGCATGCTACAAAAATCATTTTGACGTAACATAGAAATGAATAATAAGAGTTAATATCATTCCAACCAGTGGGCAGCTCCTGAGAGATTTCATCACAAGGTAAAAGAGAGGGTACACTTTTGAGAAAAGCACCTGCTTCACTTAAGGAAAAAATAGACAAATAATGTCAACAGCTACATAGCTTGGACAGAATTCATGTGCAGAGACTGCCGATCTGGTAATGTAGGGTACAAAATCAAAGCACTAAAATGACCCATTGGCTGCGGAGCCTGCTGATTACTCAATTGACTGCACAAATATGAACTTATTTCAGTTTTCCGGCTCACGTGAATGCGACTGCGTCACTTCGGATGAGACCCCAAAAAGGCAGCTTCAAAGATTTACGAACATCCATGGCTCCATAAAAGCATCTGCGTCGTGATTTCAACAAAGTAAACAAATTAGATTATAGCATATGACAGCAATGAGGTTAAGATCAGCTGTTATTATAGGACTTCATTTGAATCTTGATTAGCTTTTACTAATTTGCAAACTTAATAAAAACCAATGTATAAGATTGTGTTTCTCTGTCACAATGCACTGCAAATTTAGACCCTCTCTAGTATGTCAAAAATCATATGAACGTCAGGTTCTAGTTTTTCTATGCTCCTACATAACTAGTAAGACACCATACCAATTTGTAGAATATCTAACCAGACAGCTAATGACCAATGTTTGGAGAGAGAAAAAAGTAACTTCAGTTTACAGTTTTTACAATTCTCTCTAAGTAGGAAGCGAACAAAGTTTAAGTGGAATGATGCAACTGGAAACTGATGATACTACATGCCACAACAAAACATCTTAAAGCCACAAGCCACACAAAAAAAACATGCCTCACGTTCAAGAGAGAGAGAGAGATAGAGGGGGAGGGAGAGAGAGATATATACATATATATACCTTGAAAAGTTTATGTCATCCCTTCATTAACTAGGCTGCATTGGAGTGTACATCCTTACCCTCTGGGTCTTGGTGTCTCCAATATCGGAAGAATTGAATTAGTATCTAAAAGGCATTAAGGTACAAGAGTTTCAGACTGTTCAAGATATTGCCCTTGTTCTGTAAGAGGTACAACAAGAAAACCGTTCAACCTTCTAAGAAAAACTATTAAATTAGCAAATTTTTGACAGCTTGAGAATGCACTTTGTACTATTTTAAGATAAACATATATAGCCCTTTCAAACAGGTACGCTACATTAAAAAAAACATATGTAACAGTTATACAAGAAGGATACAAAAATATCCAGAAGCATGCATCCTCCAGAATCCACCAGCCACGGAAGATTTGGTCTGATCTCCGACCAGTCCAAGCTGTTCACAATAATGCTGCACAACAAAGAACCAAGATCAAAAGTGAAATGGAATAAAAGTAACACCTGAAACAATCTACATATTGTGTTAAAAAAAAATACATCATTAACTTTGGAACTAACTGTAAATTAAATGGCTGTACAACAAAAGGCCAAACAGTAGGAAAAGAACCACAACCAACATTCACCTTGTTACATAAGTCGCATTTCCAAGAACAGCAAAGACGAACATTAAAGGATTAAGCCCCTGCATATTACAAAGAAAAATATTATCACTCTCTCTCTCTCACTCTCTCACATCATGCATGCAACACAGAAGGATATTTGCGTTCTCCTCTGGGCTGAGGAGTGGGATCAAAGGGTTTTAGAAAAGTGTAGTTGATGCTTAAACTGCTGTAATAAAAGAATCATTTAAAAAATTCATGAAAGGAGCATTCAATATCTGACTCTGCCAACAAGAAACCACTGAAAGAGAAAATAGGGAGAAAACTAACAAAGAGAACAATTACGGTAAATTTGAATCAACTAGAATCATCTCTTAGGGGCATGTTTGGGATTAGCACGAAATTCCAAGTGCTTTTCCAGAATCTCAATCATCTCTCAAGAATCATAGAAAACTTATTCCCAGTAAGGCCTCTTCATAGAGGCAATCACACATTACTAAAATAACTTAACAAAACACAATAGGAAACCTACATAATTAACTAGAGAGTTTATCAAACACAACATGTGAACAGAAAATTAGTGTAGGAAGAGCTGTAAATGTAGGAGAGGTTGGAAAGTGGGGACTTTGAACAATTATCATACTTTCCTTGAATTTTTCAATTTATTATTGATACCCGTTTAAATAATAACTTAAATTATTATTAGTGTATATAAATTGACACAAATAATTAACCCACTAAGTCCTAATTCTGATAAATATACACTTATACAAAATAAACTTAACCTCTAAACTTGAGCTTAGGCCTAACATTAAACACAGATTCCTTTTCTTCTTCCATTAATCATTAACTACATCTATGACGGTGAAAATGCTTACCTCAACATTGCCCTTTCGGATCTGCAAAAATTGATCAAGAACCAGAAGTTAACATCACTCAGACAACTGAGACAGAAACAAATGCTCATATTCTAAAATAACATAAGATACCCAAAAAAAAAAAAGGAATGTATTAAGACAATGATATTTGTTGAATATAAGTAACTAATTCTGGTTTGCACGTCTTATAGATAGCAGCATATCATGCTGGAGCACACCATACTCACTACATGCACAATGACAACCCACGTATTCATTAGCAGATAGAAGTGGCAAAATTAAAGTTTCCCCACAGAAGAAAAAAACATAAGAACTAGAATGATCTCACAGAAGTGAGCGAAGCTAAAGAAGTTGTCAACTTTACACAATATGGCACCTCCTCCCCAATAAGTATAGCTACTTTTAAAGGTACTACTTACATTTAAGAAAATTTGAGGAAGCCGTCCACCAATGTAAATAGCTGCCATTCCCCAACCAAGCAAATTTCCTATCCTGCTGCTATCTTTAGTACCCTTTGCTTGCAACAGCTCACTACTTACCTGAAATTCAAATTGTGATTCAGCAGAAAAGAACAATGCTTGAGTTTCATTCTTCCTCTTTGGAAAACATTTACGACTTCTACAGAAAATTATCATAAAACTGGAGAAAAAAAAAATTGTGTACAAGACATATTGACCCAGAGAACATCCTGAAACATGACTTTGTGTATCCCCAATCTTAAAACTTTGTCCGAACTCTGAACTAGAAAACAATAATGGTGATGATAATGAACTTTTTTTTAGACTAGAAGGTTAAATTTGATTTCATAAGCGAGACTGTACAGTAAAGTGGACAGGTAATCCACCAAGAGCAGAAGAGCAAATAACATTAATAGCAGAAATTATAGATTAAGAAACCAAAATAAATCATGACACTGCAACTTTTCAATCTAGAATAATATTGAAGCCCAAAGCACTGCCCAGAACTTGATCTGCTCCCATATCTCCACTTACACCTCCGTAACATGTTCAAAGATCTGCTGATTCCTTTATGAACCAGACCAAAAATAGCCATCACCAGACAACCCCATATTTTTTTGGCATTTTTTTCCACCAGCCATAATGATGATGAAAGATAAGATATGTTTTACCCAACATTCCAACTAATATGCCATGTATACCCATTATATGAAGTTACAGAAAGACAGATGCACACCGTGTATATCTATTATATTAAGTTTTGTATAGAACATATTAAACAGGCAACCAGAAGAGAAAACTGCTCAGCTATAAACTGGCAACATTAGTGGTTTGTGCAACAAGAATAGTGCCGCCTAACCTGTTTTCTCAATAGCATCTTAAGAATTGTAAAAGAGAAAGTAAACTGCCAGTTTGGAATTTTGACTACCTGCAACAGCCTTCTTCCTACTCGCATCACTACTCCTCGACTTGGATTTTCAACAATTAAATCAAGTTTGTTATCTACTGATCGGTGATTAAAAGTGCCAAAGAGGGTCATCAGAGAGACCTAAATCAGAAGGAAAAGATAACAGTTTACATCGTATGATCAATATTCTGACAATGCAATATACTTACTAATTATACATTCACCGGTATAGAGATTACCACAGAGAGGACGGTCTTGATATTATTAGATGGTGCAGAATGTGTAGATGCAAGTGCACCAAGCAAGGGCTCTTCATTGGAATTCCGAATATGATTAAATGTAGGAGCTGTTGTTTGTGCCAAATAAGACCTTTCTGTAGGGGTATGACTCCTTGATAGAGATCTTGCTGATCTGATGAATTCCCAGGAAAATAGAGATCTTACAACATGATCATGATTTTCAACAATGATAATTAGATAAATCACTTAATTCTGAAAATTTAAAATCATTTATCTCAGGAACCATCTGATTATAGTTGCAGACTTCATAAAAATGCTGGCAGATTTCAGCTATCAACATCTTGCATTTCAAGATTTTAAGGTTAGATATGTAGCAAGTGTGAGCAATTTGCAGCCCTAGTTATCTTTCATTTTCTTTTAAAAGATGCAGATTAATCGAGGAGACAGCCACCAAATGTCAGTTAACATCATTATTACAATCATGACAAATCTGGAAAGGTATCCAAACTGCAGTACGAGTACCCAAAGGATGAACAGAACCCTTCAAGAAAGTAAGAGAGGTTTGTTCTTAAGATAAATATACTAGATAAAATTAAGACTAAGTTACACTAGCTAGAACCCCACTTAAATAGATCTGATAACAACTAGCCTACTCAATACTTTCTAGTTCCAAGAGCATGCCCCAAAAAGGTCACAGAAAAAACTGACTGACACAAATTACAAAAAAAATATATATGTACATATATGTATATATTAACAGCCTAAAAGCCCCAAACCGAGAAACTTATTAGATCCTCAAGAACTATCCAGAACAGTAAGTTTTCTATCAACTGGCTGCTTCACAAAGATGACTAAAACTTTAACAAAGGACAAGTGTTTTGCTTTGAATGTAATTTCTTTTGTTTTTTTTCCTCCTACGTGAACCCATCTGCTCCCCTTATTTTTCAGAAGCCCGGTAGGGTTTAATGTATATCCAGTACATGTCCAACTGTTACTTCGTTTTTAATAGACAAAATGTAGATCTAACTTTATTGTGCCAAATTGAAGTCTTCATCGATTATACATTCAAAGAAACAAAAATAAAAAGAGATAATCGATAATAATTTGTCACTCCATAGAAGCACATTTGAGAAATCTGATGAGAAATATTAATTACATGTAGTATGATTCTCTTCCGGGGGAAATACTTGGACAAATTCCAGGAAGAGGAATGGGTGAACTCAAAACATTTCCTGCACTGGGGGTGTCAAACCCAATACTCCTGCCATCATGATTGACCTGTTTCCCAACGAAGTCAGTATTGCTTCTTCTAACCTCAGTCAGATTAGACTTGGAACCCTACATTACAGATTAGTGCATTAAAGGTATTCTCTTTTTGCTTTTTGATACAAGCATTAAACATACTCGATGTATGAATGCAAAAAGGCAAAAAAGAAACCTAAAGCAGAAAATAAGTAATACATAAAGTAGTTGAATTAGCAAATGTAACTGTCATAAGAAAAATAAGTGCTCCAAGTTATGTGCTACTGTTGCGTTCTTCTCTGGAATTGTATTCACTCCATCACTCGCCTTTAGAAATCAGAACAACACATCTATAAGCAAACTAATCATTGTAAAACCTACTGGAAAGAAGAAGCTATTTGATAAAAAAGTTATATTTCCACAATCTGATTAGATGGCCACAAGAAAGAGAAGAAGACAATGAGGTGCTTCTTCAATCCCATACATAAAGAAGAAACCAGTACAGAAATGCTAGCTAACCAGAAAAGATTTCCTTCTTTTCTAAGATTGAAATAAAATCTCGATCAAATTGAGGTCATATCAGCTGGTTAAACAAACAATACAGAAAATATTTGACAGATCCGTATAAGGTTAATGTGTACCTACTTCATGTAATCAAAAATTAATCAGATGGGCATGAATTTCTGAAAACCTCAAATCACTTGAATCTTTCTCAGTTCGGATTATATTCAAGTTTCCTATTTTTCCAAATCTTGATTCTTTTGCCATATTTGAACTTAGAATCTATTTTAGGATCTTTCAACAAGCTTTCCATTACATGCTCTTTAAAATTTTCCTGGTTCCCAAAATGAGAAGCTCTAACTTTCCTACTCCGCTAGAAATATACAATAAAGGCAAACATGAATGAGTAAGTGGCTAAGGTTATGCGATTATGTAAGAGGAGATGAGGACATCAGCTTCCAACCTTTTTCTGTCTCAAATTGTGTTTAAGTCGAGGATATATGCAGCCATAGTATATGGTCTGCACCGCAAGAACAGCTGTGGTAATTGTATACAACTGCATACCAAGAAAACAGTGAAAGATCGCATCACCTCATTTGTTGATGACATGAAATCAATTTGAATGAAAAATCTATTTGTTTAGATATCAAAATGAAGCTCCAGTCTTGACATTCGTACCATTGCCATATAGTATTGTGTGGGAAGCTGCATAAGCAAGTATACAAAGGAGCAGTTAGTTACCAATACTTTGTGTTTATGAAAGACAATATGTACGCAAAAATGTCCAAGGCTAATCTGAGATCATTACCCTTATGCATTGGGAAGCAATAAAACAAAATAATCCCAACAAGCAAGCATTATGGAGAAATTTTGTTGACAGAGTCTTCTTGCAAAAAGCGAACTTTCTATATAGAAGATTGATACTTAACAGAAATTGCATACCAATTCTCTAGATCATCCAAATCAATTCAAAGATAACAAGAACTTAGGTAGACACTTTCAGCAAGTTCTGAATTGTAACTTGATATGCATATTCTATATATGATCAAGTCTTCTTTATCCATATAACACAGAATTTATATATGGCACAAGGACCAAGATAAAGGACCCACCAAGATAAAGGGTTCTCAATCTGGATTACCATCAATCAACAGACAAACACTAACTGGAGAACCCTAGGTTGCAATAGCATACACCATCATGTTAAGTTTACTTTGTATTGGCTAATTCCATGTCTGAAACACTAGAGTTGTAAGAGTTTGTGTCGAGCAAGTTGAAGATGACATCTCAAGAAGAATGAAGAGGATGAGCTTTGGTCGCATGCTAAGACGAGTCTATGGTTTCATGTTTCACAATACAAAACTTAATGAACCAGAAGTCCACCATCAAAATGATACAGCCCTAACAAACAAATCCAAAATATACCTCCTACACTGTAGAACAAAGCTAAAAGCTATACCACAGGAAACTCCCAAATCTAATAAAATTACAGAAAACGAAAGATCCCTATAAGTTGGAGAAAGAGAACCCCATAACGATGGCCTGATTCTTTCCCAGGAAATCTCTTCTACCTCCGCACTATAGTTCTCAAATATTTTTTGATTTCTCTCCAACAAAATTACCTAAAGGACAGCTAACACAGTGCGATTCGACAACATTCTTGCCTTCCTTCCACCACCAAACAACAAACTTTTCGCAAAGCATGTTTGAAGGTGACTAAAGGATATTAACCCTTGCCTCCCTGACTAACTGCCACAGCAGCTGCAATGCATATGAACAATGTAAAAACAAGCGAGTTCCAGATTCCGCCTCTTTTTTTGGACAAAATGCACCAGTGAGTAGAAAGACAAAAATTGAATCTTCTTCGTTTAAACGAAAGTGTCACATCAAGAATATTTTAACCATTTCTACATTTCTGGACTCCTATTTTGCTTCAAAGAGTTCCTACTTACCATCTACAATCTTCTACGTTTATGATGCTTAGAGTTCGAACTCCATATAAACATTTTTGCAACTTTGAGGAGAACGTTTTGCAACCTAGAGCTTTGGAGTTTATGTTGTCTTTGTGATATTGCTTTCTCTCGTAGATGCTGTTGTGTTTTTTGCTTTTCTGGTATCTTAGGCAGCGTTTGAATTTTTTTTCCATAGTCTACAACAGTTTTATGTATGTATTCATCCTCCTTTTATGCCACTTATACCTTGTCATATCATATGAGAAACCAGACTGATGCCACCCAAGGGTGAGTCAATAATCCCCTAGTACAGACCTTGCCGTGTCATGGCTACAGGGGACATTAAGCATAGCATTGGCCCGGAGAAGACCGTTCTTACGCCTTGGGAGGGACTTTTTCCATCACCTGACATCATGTTGCTCTATGGAGAGCTGGTTTGATTGTTACAAACTAGCCAAGTGGTGGCCACAAGGAAGAAATAGTAGATTCTCATTTTTGCCCTTGGTTGTAATGTTGACATACAAACATTGAGAATCTTACATTTACATGCACCATTAAGTAAAAGTTAAAAATACTTCCACACTTGAATTGGTAGAGGAAAACAGATGAACTATATCAGGCACTGAAGTAATACAGAGCTGCTAAATTAAATTTACCAAAAATAGAAGTTTTCATATTAGTTTCAAGAATACCTAGGAATTCATTTTCTATTGGTTAAACTTAATCTTGTCCCTGTATATGAAAAAATTAAACCAAGTTTAAAAAGCTATTGAAGAAACTGAAACCGAATCATTAAAGGACACTTACCGTAGCAGGTTCCAACATGCAGCCGAAAAGATTAAAAAGGTCCCTGCATAAGAATTCCATTACAAGAGCAAAGCAATTAGTCTCTTGTCAATATCACAATTCAGCTTAGATGTTAGAACATAAATTCACATATTATGGCTGCAGGCTGTATGAAGCAATTAGTGACCAAGTTTTGGCTTAATCAAGTAAACACAAAGGTATCATTGTCAAAATTCGAACTACAAGGACGAAAGTGAAAATCCTAGAAAACTAGAGAAATAAATTACAAAGATATTGATAAGCTTGCATTCTGAATCAAAAAATATATATTTGGATTGAACTCCAAGCATAATTTGGTGGGTTTGGTGGAGGGTTTACAAAGACAAGAATTTGGGAATTGTGAAGCAAAGAAGAATGAATAGCTTTGATTTTGAATTTCTTTCTGGGTCCACCTCCACCACCACATAAATGACATGAGGAAGACATTTGAAAACAACAGCAAACAGGAAGCAAAAGTCTGAAATGGGATTTGGAATGAATGATAAGGACATAAATAAAAGTAAAAATGCACAGAACATCAACAAAATTATAATAATAAAGGATAAAGAGACGAAGAAAAGGGCAAAAGCAGTAAGCCGCAGAATCATAAAAGTAGCCTACCCGAGTATCCAAGTCATCAAGAAAGCAAGAGACAGACCGTCCGTGGATTTGTTTTTGTAGTTTGTGATGACTTGAGGTATCTCAGCAACACCCCAACTCACCACACTGATTAAACCTAGTGTCAGCGAAACGCCGTCTTTGACGCTGCAAAGTTCATACTCCATGTACTTCCTCCCCCATTCCCAACAATGCTCATCTCTCGTGGGCCCCACTGCCATTCCTCCCATCACTGTATTGTATTGCATGCTTCTCTCTCTCTATTCTCCTCTTCTCTTCTCTACAAAAACACAGCCTTCCTTCAATGTCCCCCTCACTCACACTCTCTCTGTGGGTTTGTGTTGAGTTGTGTGTTTTGAGTGAGAGAAATATTAGAAGACAATTTCAATTTCTAATGAATTCCAAATGCACCCAAAAAAGTAATAATAATCAAAGGCAGACCATAACTAGGAATAAAAAATGTTATGTAAATATCCATATATCCAATCAAAAAATCCTTTTTCCTTTGGAAAAATGACGGAGTGTGTTGCTGCTTGATGAGTTAAATCCAAAAATGCCGAGAAATAATTCATTTAAAAAGAAAACAAATATATATTAGGTAAAATGTCATTTTTGGTCCGTGTGGTTTACTATTTTTATCACTAAAGTCTCTATACTTTTAATTTGATCAATTTTATTCTTATAATTTGTATTTCAAGCCATTCAAGGACAATCCCAAATTTTGGTATCCCCAATTTTGGTCAAATTTTTGTTTGCATGGAGGGGCGCTTAGGTCCAATCTATGGTCTCTCCTCAACCACTCCCACATCCCCTCCTATAGCTTTTCTTCTCCTTTCAAGTCTTAACTTAGTCGACTATTTATTCTGAACAACACCAAACACCTTATAATATTATGGATAAAAAGTCAGTACTCTCCGAAATAGATTAATACTATTCCAAAAAAGTTAGTCAGTACAGTCTGACGTATCAAACGAGTTACAGTCATTGTTTACATGGAACACATTTATTTATTTCAATTGTATTTCTAGTTAGTTATGTATATATTTTTTATTTTTTGGCTTGTGTGTTGATATTTATTAAGTTCCTTTTCCCGCAAGGAATTAATTACTTTCTCCTTATTGCTTTCGGATTAGTAGAGTTTCCCATATTTGAACATAAGATTGCAAATATCCCTATAAATTGAAGACATACTTGTTCTCTTCAATTCACACTTTGTTTTCTACAGATTCATGATGAAGGACACACTGAACATGGAGAGTTCAACAAAAAGAGAAACAAGAGAAAACCCGAACTCATTCGTCTCAATCGTCCTTGCTCTTGGTGCTCCCAACGCGACCACTCTTCCACACACCAAAAAAGGCACCAAACGCACCCCTTCATTCACCAAAGCGCAAAGTAATTGTAACCGTAGAGCAAAATTACTCTCGCGACCCAACCCCAACCGGAAGAGAAAACAAGAAGCAGCCCCGCCACAACAACATGAAGGAGAACAAAAACACGTAGACAAACACAAACAAGAACAAGAACAAGAACAAGAACTTGAACATGAACATGAACATGAACACGAACGCAAAAAGAAACTTGAAGAAGGTGATTCGCATCCATGTTTTGGGACCCCAATGCCATTGATGAGTCTTCTAGCGACGAAGAAAAACGACCTATAAGAGGAGTTGATAATAATCTCAATGTTTTTTTTAATTATTTTATGAATTTTTTTAGTAGAATGGTTTTATTTACATATTAGCCTCTCGACTTGCGGTCACGCTTATATTGAATTTTTTAAAAAAAAATTAGTTATTTTATCATTATTTATAGAGAATTTTGTCGGGACATTGGTTCATATTTCATATTTTATTTTCTAATTATTTGAATTTGAATTGAACTATTGTTTTACTTATTTGTCATTTTGAAGCAATTATTTGAAATTATAATAAATCTTAGATGATAAGAATAATTGAAAAACAAAAAAAACAAAACAAAGAAAGGATACAATTTCTGCTAAAAAAACAAATTGAAAACAAAAAGTAAGGCCCTGTTTAGTATCCTACTCAAAAAAATTAAAATTTAAAACTATGATTCTTTTTTTAAAACATGAGTTTTCAAATAGTGATTTTAAGATCTAAAAAAAATAAAAAACCCTAGATTCCCAAATTGAAATTAACAAAAAAAAAAAGGGGGGAGAGAGAGAGAAGAGAGAGACGAGACAAGACGAGAGACGAGAGAGGAGAGAGGAATGAGAGAGAGACGAGACGAGAGAGGAGAGAGGAATGAGAGAGAAAGAGGCAGGAGAGGGAGAGACGGGAGAGGAAGGAGAGAGAACGAGAGAGGGAGGAGAGAGAGAGAGAGAGAGAAAAAAAAATCACTTTTTTGTTTTTAATAAGGGGATGTTTTTGAGTTTTTCTTTGGTTTGAGATTTTAAAAATGGGTCTGGCTTAAAATTGGATCCAAATAGGACCAAACAGGTCCTAAAGTTCTCATTCTTGTGTATGGCTTTCTAATTTTATGTATGTATCTAGATTTTCTGTTGTAATTTGTTTTTTTTTTTATAAACAAATTATCACATACGTTTAGTCTAGCCCCCAATGACTACAACAGTGAATATAGTATCAATGAGGATTTTTTTTAATAAAAAAATTTATTCAAGAACAAGGAGGAAAACATAATCGAAGCAAAATCTCATACAAGGAATAGCAACTACATCTGCAACAATCATGGCCTCACAAAACACATGCCCAATCTTAACCTCGACTAGTCCAACAAGTTGATAGATGTCCTGAGTGATCGGTGTCCTGACAGGCATCATGGCGTATCTCCAGCTCGAATTCCGAGTCTCTGCATTTAAATAGTGTGAATTTACCCGTAATTCATTACATTTAGACCATTACAATAATTTAACCACCTAAAACATGACACATCAAACTCTGAATGTCTTTGAACGCAAGATTATTAGAATGTCTTTTGAGTCCCAGGCCACTTATTCTCTAACTAAAGCCAAGTTGCATACCAAGGGCCCCCGGGAAGGAGAAGAGGCTGTAAAACAACCAGGTCCCTTAGGCCTCCATCCTGCCATTCCCCTCAAGAGGCTGTACACTCATCGTCACCATTTTCACTATCCAAGTCTTTTCAGCTATATAAGATTTGGTATTAGAGTCAACAAGCACGATGATGCAAATGCAACCATGAACATTGAGGGGAGAGGGGGGCCTTTTTCACAGAATATAAGCACGGAATGAGACAGTATGAACAGTATATCTGCCTGGATAACGGAATATAACACAGAGAGAGAGAGAGAGAGAGCCTGTTTTTCAACTCCTATTTTCTTTTTCATTTCATAAAATTCATCATGTACTTTCATATGGAAAAGCCGCATAGGTTGCAGGTTGAAGCAGAACCACTGAAACAAGCACACCATAGGACTGAGCATAATTAAATCAACCCTGGTATAGACTAGACCAAAGAACTTAAAAGACAAAATAAATTGTGGAGGGCTTCACTAACAATATCCACTGAGGGGCATGATGAAGGTTGCATAACCTAGACCAAATGCTGATCCTGCATGAGTACAAAAACAGTGGTTTACTCTTCAAGACCCGGTTCCATTGTCTGGACTGGTGGGGCTGTAACTACGGCCATACTCAGGTCAGGAAAGCCAGAATCAGCAGATTTTTCTCGGATCTCCCTGTACTCTTGACAAATGGCACACAAATGGCAGAAAAAATGAGTGACAAAGTCTCCACATGGTGCTTCCTACAAAATGAATCACAAGAAATGATAAGCCCTAGTGAAGCCATAAAACTCGACTTAAGAAGTTGTCCCACAAAGTTCGTAATCCGTGACCTTGCCCCCCAAATTACTTTGAAGTTATACAATAAACTATTTTCCAACAAGCCCCATATAAATTCATATTCTCTAACACAAGCACGGTAATTATATCTTCCCTTGTTGAGAATAAATCCCACATTGGGAATTTGAAGCCTTGCATGACAATATAAAAATGAAGAGGCTTATATATTGTCATGCATGGCCACGAATTGCCAATTTCCAATTGGTTTAAGATGCCTTTGATTGCGACTCAGGCCCAACATGTCACCCAATAAATATCACATCTTTGGTAATCATTTTCTGTAACCTCTAATGAAACTGAAACAGAATTGGCCATCAAAGGCAACCGAAGTTAATTGAAACGGGATTAGCTCTTAAAGGAAAAGAGCAAAAAAAAAGAAAAAAAAAAGAAAAAGGAGAGTTCTAATAAAGAAAAGAACAAGCATGTATAAAATATATTCACTTTTTTATATTTCTAAAGGGCCACTTATTTGGGATTTCTCAAATATGCATAATCAATTTTTTCACTATTAACAATCTATAGCCTGGAAAACTGATAAACAATGCTATACCTGAAGATTATACTTTGATCTTAGGGTCCTGCGGTAGCCACAAGCATAACATGCAACAAAGCATCCCGGTACTCCCAAAACAAGACCCTCAGTCAATAAGCAGCAGACGGTATTAACGAGTACCCACAAAATAAAATGAGTCATGCATGATCCCATGAATGTCCCAGAACCCAGAAATTCTGCATTCTTTCCGAATAAAAAGCAAGGACAAAATAGACCTATACAACCTGTACAAAACAAAAATCAGCAATTAGATGATCATTGTTGGCTTGCGCTCACAGTGATATTTGTGTAACTGACCAAAATTCAAATGTTGCTCCTGTGTATCATGCGTTATCATGATATGCGAAAAGAAACAAGTCATATTATACTCAGTCCACCTACTTCCCATTTTCTTCATTTCAACTTTTACCCATATAGATAAAACTTATTCTTCAAACAAGAAAAGCCGACTAACCATTTTAACCAGTCTGCAGATCATTAGTTTGTGTGTGGGGACATTATGTTCAAAGCTCAATGAATGACCACCTGTAATTCAACCTCTACAAACCATTATTATCTTTATATTCACTACTAATAACACCAACTATTTACCAACAGTCAATGCTTTATCTCACATCAGACAGGATTTCATGTCTTCAAAATCAGATTTAAATTACTTAAGATGTGAAGCTTATAAATAATATTTATCCGAATTTATCTCCAAAAATTCAAGGGGTTTGCTATTTTATAAATATATTAATAAATAAAAATTAGGAGACCAACTCTTTTTTCGTAACTTTATTGTCCCTGCAGTATTGATGGGTGATGGTAATTATGGGCGCCATGGTAATCAAGGGTAAGACCACAAGAGAAATTACTCATCAGATACAAGGAAATGGTTAGCTGAATCTTATACTTTCTCAGAGCTAGTAACACTGGAATGTTAGAAATAAACCAGAAACATTTCTCTTATACATAAACTGCTAAACATGGGGACCAATAAAGAACTATATCATCCATGACGTTAACTAGCCAACTTAAGGTAGTTTAAATTGGCCCAAACTGGAAACTCAAAATATTGCTGCTTGAATAAGCATGCAAAACCAAACGATATGCAAAGCTTACTAGCTTCTGAGCTACTATATCTTGATATAAAAGTCCAAGCCTTCATTTGGAACTTCTATATTTTATGTAACATGTACATCGATGATCGAACTAGTATGCTTTAACTTGAGTCAGTCGAATCCTATGGTTTCTTAAAGCTGCTTCCTTTCTTTGGAATTTTTTTAAAATAATACAAAATGAATCCCAGCCACAAATTCAGACACAATGTCTTCTAAATAATACAAAATGAATCCCAGCCACAAATTCAGACACAATAGACGTCCACCACATAATGTAGAGTACTCAGAGAACGTTAAGCACATAGCAAGCTAAGAGCTGAGCAATATTATTATATGGTTAGTTAAATAACTGAACTCATATCCTAGCCCTTCTAAGAAAGTCCTAAGAAAATGAAGTATGACAAGCACAAGCTAATTTTTTTTCCCTACTCAAGAGGCACCTTCATTTTTTTTTCCTTCTGATAAATCAAGGTCACAAGGCAGAAAGTAGCGTACAGCTCTGCATATCGTCACAGCATGCGCAGATTCCAGAAGACCATTGTACAGGCCCATCAACACTGTTTTGCTGCTTGGGAGGCTCTTCATTTCGCAAAACAATTGCCGATTCAGAATCCGACATCCCTAAAGGAATGTACGCCGGTGGGGCATAACTGCTTTGGCTCTTCATCCTTCTCTTGTGACCCAAATGATCTGTACCCAGTAACCCAAAGCATAAACAAGAGAGAAACTGAGTCAATAAATGTGCAAAGAGACCACAATGGCAATCCCATACATCTCAATCAGCAACAAATAATCTTCTGTTAAGCATTACCCAAAAAGCACAAAGGGGAAACAAATACAATGCGACATAACATGAGGAACCGTGCCCTCCACAACAAGAGTCTAATGCGAGAGATTTACGATTAACAGCTACTTTTAAATGCTAAGATTGAAAACTCTGAGTAACAAATTGAACGCAATCAATAAAATCAAGCAGGGCAGAAAAAAAATCGAATTTCAAACATAAAATTTGAGATTTAGTTTCCGCTTTTAGATAATAAATCAAACAATGCTATGAAGAAAAGAAAAAATCACAACACCAACAACGAAGGCAGAAGGAAAACACTAAAACAAAGCATTAACAGATGGTTTAACAAATTCTAGTAAAGAAAATTGAAAGCGAAGAACAGCAATGACATGTGAAAACATTAAAAGAAAATTATGAAAAATGATAAGAAATCGAAGAAACAAAGAATCGAAGAAAGAAAGATCCGTACCTTCCTCTTTCTGTCGGTGAGTGAAGAAAATGGTGGGAGAAAAAGTAAACCTTTTCTGTTGCTGAGAAAGAGAAAATGCTTACGTTTTGCTTAGATGCCCATTTTGGGCCTAGGTATCGTCACTGATCTGCATATTAGGAATTCCCCTTTACACCCAGTCTATCTCCACGCACCCTCAAATATATCTAGCAGTAGGCAAATGGAAATTTTTGGCACATCTCGAGGCTAATGGGGATCCGCCTTCCCATTTTCTGTTTGGGTGATTTTATTGGCACCTATTATTTGCTCTTTACACTCCATACTAATTTAAAATATAAATAACATATTTTACCCTTGTACACAATTACCGTTAAGGATAAAAAAATTTAAAATTAAAATTAAAATTGCTCACTACACCCCACATATGTTCCTGCAACCCTAGTTTGAGTTTTTTCTCAAACTATCATGTTCCTAAATCCTAAACCCTAGATTTATACGTTTATACTGGTGCAAAAATATCTTGTATTTATTCATGAAGAGTGAGATTGAAGTTAGGGAGGCTTCGAACGAGTTTATTTTTTGGCGTTTTTCAAGTTTAGTATTTCGTAACAGCCGCTGGTTGGTTCAGCACATCAGTACCGAACGCGACAGGTAAATTCGGTGGGATGCCACCAAAACGTTGCACCATTTTCAGTAGGATTCGACCGGTCAGCAACGTAATATTCGGTGGAGATCCACCGTAAGATGGAACGTAGTTCAGTGGTATACTACCGAAATATTACCTGCGTTTCAGTGGCATCCAACCGAAATTTATTTATTTTTTCAGTAACTTATTGCCGACCACAAATTTAATCCAAGCTATTTTGATCTTACTTCCATTGAAGGAACAAAAACAAGGTGACGCCCCTACTGAAGGCAACAATGTGGGAACAGAATGTGTAATGGACTATAGTGATTAATTCACAACTTATTTGGTAATTATTTATCTGAAATCCTTTTTATTATCATTAACGTGGCATTAATGTTTCAAATTTTATATTTAAATAATATGAGTTTTATGTGTAGATATTCAATAGTAGAGATGCATTACTTCGATGGGCTCGTGAACAAGGAAAATTGAATAATATTGTCATTGTAATTAAAAGTTCTGATTATGGAGGTAAGGGTAAGAGGAGACCTCGTGTAATACTTGCTTGTGAGAGGAACGGTAACTATAAGTCTTGCAAGTATAGTGAGACAACTGATATAAGGTCGGATGCAAATAGTGATATGAAAAAATGTGCTAGGGACACTGGTACCAAGAAATGTGGATGCCCATTCTTGTTAAAAGGTATCAAGATTGGTGATGAGGATGATTGGAAGTTGGAGGGGGTTTGTGGAGTACACAACCATCCAATTTCAGAGTATCTTCAAGGTCATTCATTTGTGGGGCGACTTACTGAAGAGGAGAATGCCTTGTTGGTGGATATGTCTAAGAGTTTGGTGAAACCCAGAGATATTTTGGTCACCATTAAAGATAGAGATGCAATGAATGTTTCAACTATGAAGACAATATACAATGCTAGGATCCGAAATAGAACCAAAGAATTTGCTGGGAGAACCCAAATGCAACAATTGCTTACTAAGTTATCCGAACACAATTATATTGAGTGGCATAGGACATCTGGTGATATTGTAACTGACCTGTTTTGGACACACCCCACTAATATTGATATTGTGCGTGCATTTCCACATGTACTTATCATGGATTGCACCTATAAGACTAATAGGTATCGTTTCCCACTATTACAAATTGTGGGGGTGACATCTACTAATATGACATTCTTTGTTGCATATGTGTATATGAATGCCGATAAGGAAGACAATTACACATAGGCATTGACTGCATTGAGGAGTTTGTTGGATGATAATTGTCTTCCTGGTGTTATTGTCACC